CCGGCGATTCTCCGATCTGCTCCAAAACCCAGTAAACCCAGAGGCTATTCTGCATTTCAAGTAGCCAGAAATGTACCGAACCACGAAGAAATGGGCAGGAAAGAGCGAGCCTCTTGGAGTAAAAGATGAAATGATTCAAAGCTCAAGTGGTGAAGAAATGGGAAGGTGGGGGTCCTCGATTTCTCCGACCCAGTTGAATTTGTTAGACTTGATCAAATTTGGAGCTCGTCAAGGTACGAATAAACGACCCAGAACACCAATTTGGTCCGAAGAACAAGCACCTTAAAGCTCTCTGAGAAAAAAAAATGAAGAAAGAGAAGAAGGACAACAGTGACTGGGAAAGAGCATGAGAAAACAAAAAAATATCGAAGGGATTAAGTGGAGGTGGGTGGGGAAGATCAATTTTTTACACTTAAAAAAACAATTTTTTCCACTTAAAAAAAATTAAAGCCATAAGAAATTATAAAAATATCTGGCAATTTTACCTTACCGTCACGTCTCTCTCTCTTAATTTCATCTTTCTCTTTCTCTCTCTTACCGTACAATATTATAAATCATTATTTATGTTATTAATAATTTATTACATCTAAAGTATAGGTTCTTTTTATTTAAATAAGAAAAAACATGAAAATATCCAATATATATATATATATATATATATTAAAAAAACAGCATGAAAGGTTATAACAAAGCATCTTATCCAATAAAAAAAGACAATTAAAATTTATTCTGTTTTATTATATAAACTTTTGATTTGATATTGTCATGAGAAAATAAATTCTAGATAAATTCCATAAATATTAATTATAGTATTTATAATTCAAAATATTATATTTTAATTATGAATAAATTTAAGATGTATTTTTTAAATGATTTCTTCCATGTGGAATATAATAACTTAATGTTATATTAACTTTTTAGGTATTAAAAAAAATAATGAACTTTCCTACTAATTTAATTAATGGCTCTAATAAATAATACTTTAGTGTCTCTCGTTTAAAATTTGTAATAATTTAATATTTACATGGAAACTTATTATCAAAATTAAATGTTAATTTTTATTAAATGACTTCGTCTTTATAGTTATAAATAAATTTAATTTTTAATTATTTTATCGATAAACTTTAATGATATGACTAAATGATTTTATAAATTATTTAAAAAAAGATTAGGCTTGTATCCTATTTAATAATTAAGTAACTAATTGACAGGATATTGTCTTTAGCCACATGCAACGATATTTAAACAAATTTATCAGTCAATTAAAAAAATATAAACAATTTTTTTTTTTTTTTTTTTTTTATGAATTTTTTATTTTATTTCAACGGTAAAATGGGCAAAATATATATATATATATATAGATATATATGTATGTATGTATAATAAACTAAGGGTCAAGATAGAAGAGGTTTAAAAATTTAGAAGGATGAATTAGTTGGTTGACTTGACACAGTCGCCGAGGAGGAGGAGAAGAAGGGAGGAGGGAAGGAATCGAAGCGCGCTTTTTCATTTTGTTGGATGAATCGAAGTTTTTTTTCCAAGAAAAAGAACGCCGCCGTAAAAGGTAACCTTTTCTTTTCGTTAGGTTGAAGCATTGAATTAGCATAAATCGAATTCTAAGCTTAGGGATAGGCATTACGTGAATTAGCTTTCTTGGTTTCGAACAATTCTCAAAAGCCATTAAACAATTGCTTAATTTGGGTTTGGTAGTTTCTTCAAACCCACATTCACAAGCTATCCATTTCTCAATAATTTCTTACCATTTCATTCAAATTTGATTCTATTTGATATATATCTCTCTCTGATTCTTTCCTCAGAAGATCAAAATAGTCGATTGTTTATGGTAAACCATAGGAATTGTTGAGAGTTAGAGGAGGATGGTTTAAGGGAAAGGAAACTTTTGGCAGAAAATTCTACGCACGGAAGGTGTTTGTGAAAATGTCTGAGAGAGGAAAAACAAGTTTTCTAGGATGTGGACAGTGGCTCTGTTTTATACAATTTGATTTCTGGGCATAGTTTAATAGTGGAACTGGAAAGGGACTTTCGAGATCCAGCCCACTTTGCTTTAATCGCACAATTTGGTGAGTGGAGGGATTTGACTGCAACTCATGCACACTAATAATGGTTTATTATTATTAGCCTGCCTGTCTATTCTAATGTCAATTATTAGAAACTTCCTACCCCCCCCAGTTTGGTATTTACCCACAGGGCTGAATCTTTCAGATCTGAATCCACCTGGATTCATTGATACCCCCCATATTCGTATTCAAATCATCCCAACAGTTCATCCTCGTTAAGAACAAACTGTTCTTTCTTCTTTGGGTTTCATTTAGTTGTCAGTCAACACCTCTTCAACCTCAGTTGTTCTTGAAATTGTTGAACCACTTCTGTGAAACTGAATCCTCAAGCTCATTACTGACTCTCACGTTCTATATGCTTTCCAGCTCCCACTTCCCCACCATTTTTTTTTCCTGCGAAAGTGAAATGGCCAAGAAAAGTTAGGTCGGAGTGATGATAAAGTTTTTGAATGTAACAATTGGTGGGTGTGAAATCTGGTTTGATGTGGGAAAAGCAAAGAGATCAGAATCAGAATCATTCACCATTGGAGCAGACCAAACAACTTCTAACTAATCTACTTTCCCAATGGTCTAAACAATAATGCTTTCATTCAGTTTGCCCAGCTAAATTTGGTGAGACTAGTTGTGTAACCAGTAAGAAAGACTACAAATGACAATATAGGTTTGAGCTGTTGAAAATGATATCAAAGTCAGACATCGGGTAATGTGCGAGCGAGGATACTAGCCCTCTAGCTTTCAAAGAGGTGGATCGTGAGATCTCACATTGGGTAGAGAACAAAACATTCTTTACAAGGGTGCAGAAATCTAAAAATAAAACCTTGAGTAAAATTCTAAAAAATAATGTCTAAAAATGACACAGAAATCTAAAAATAAAACTTTGAGGAAAATTCTAAAAAATAATGTCTAAAAATGACAATATCTAATAGGGATGGATTTGGGTCTTTACAAGTCGATGCTACGTGACATCATTCTACCAAACGAGCCATTAGCTTTAGCTAGCCCCCATTAGGTTGCCTCCTTTGTTTATTACAGTTCCTTTTCAGCTTCAACCAAAACATTGATATTTGGATATACAGAATCATCACATCTTTCTTTTTTCTTTTTCTTTTTCTTTTTCCTTTACTTTAATAAGACCAGATTCTTCCCATAAGTAGGGTTTGTTCTTTTTTTTTTTTCTTCTCATGGTTTGGTTTTATTACATGACATAATTGTTGTTTTTATTTAATAAAAGTATTGTAATATAAATAAATTATAGAGTATAATTATTGGGGGTAGGCTAAGATTTTTAAATAGGATTAAAAAAAATCTCAATTATCTCACCTTTTAATAAACTATAAGTAAATTATAGAGCATGATTATTGTTGTTTAGATTATGGGTTTGTTATTAGTTAATATATATACTTTTATAAAGTATATTTTTATTTTTTATATATATTAAAGAAAAAAAAAAAAAAACTCGATGAATTATTATTAGAATAAGAGTGAAGCAAAAATAATAATGGTGTGTTGGGGGTATGGTGGCATAGAATTCTCCTCGGTTGCTTTCAATTTCTTCCTCCATTGACAAAAGAGAACATAGTGGGCCTCACCCATTGGGCCCAATTACGCTCTCTCACGACATGACCCTTCAACCCCCCAATGGCCCATCCCAATTTCTCAATTTTATTATTATTATTATTATTATTGTCTTCCATACCTAATAGCCAACCATACTATATACACAAATTTATAAACTTATTATTTATTGATTTTGTAGCTATGACTTTCAAATATTTGTCCTTTTTTATTATTATACTATATAATGTAATGTAATGTGAATGAGTTGGTCACCCAATTATCCAAATTAGATTAATATAATCTAAGCCCCTTTCATGTTAATTCTTGAATTCATTTAATTTAATAAATATACAAACATAAAACAAAATTCAAATCCCATACTAAAATTCATTTATTTTTATTTTATTTGTTTCTTTAGTTTTCCATCTCCTTATGGATCTACCTATGTAACTTTTAGATTATGATTTTTTTTTTTTTTTTTTGTATATTCCCATATATATCCAACCACTAAATTCTGGATAGTATTTAAATTATACTTTTGAGACTTTCCACACTTTTAATGGAAATTTTTATGATATTTTAAAAATAAAGGAAAAATAAATAAATAATAATAAAAAGATGTTGACTTTACGAAATCGAAGAAGACATATATTACCAGAATGATGTGATTGATTGCAATAAATTTATTTTCTATGATTTATATTTATATTCATTTGGAGTGCATTTAGGGCAACCGAGACCTATTTTTATTTTACCCCAAATTTATTTTCATTAAAAAAAACTTTTTATTTTTTTTAATTTTTTTAATTTTTTTTGGCTCAAATAATTGAAGATACCATGATTACTAACTTTGTGTACATCATATCTCTAATTTTGAAAAGAAAAAAAAAAAAAAAAAAAACGGGTCTGGATAAGACCAAATCTTAAAAAATAAAAATTGGAATAAGGACAACAAAATTGGTGGGAAAACAGTCAGATTAATTAATGATTATAAATAATGATCTAGAAAAAAAAAACTAATTTATATTATGTTAATCGTTCTTCCCCAACCAGGGAAGATCATGCACTAAAAAAAATTAATTTAATTCAAACTTTGTTAATAATTAATTACAAGTGAATAATAAGAACATGGTCCTGGATTGAAGGCTACAAAATATTCAAACATATGTATATATATTTATTTATTTATTTATATTGAAGGCTGAAAAAAGGGAGTTAATTAAAAAAGTTTTAAAAGGAAAGGTTCCAAAATATAAAATCCCAAGTTTTGTGGGTTACAAAAATAATAATAAAAGAAAAGAAGTTGGTGGAAAGTGGGGTCCTAAGCCATAATGATTTCTTTTATCTGAATTCATTTGGAATGACATGGCTAAGGTCAAGCTGGAAATACCTTTTATTTATTTATTTATTTATTTTCATGTATATAATAAAATAATATATTGCAATCTAAAAATATTCCTTTTGAAACAAGCACATGACTAGGCTTATCCATTTGCAATTAATGCATTTTATTCAAAATAATATTTTTTTTATTAAAAAAATACACATTTGTAATAAATATAAAGTGGATGTCCATCTAAAATGCCTTTATTTATACCCCTTCCCCTTTGGAATATTTCTCTTTACAATTACCATTTTTGGTGATATATTTTCCATTCCACGTGTAAATTTATGTATTTTTTAATATTTATATTTTTTTTATTCAATTCATTTTCTAAATAAACCATATTTTTATCCATTTATTCAGTCTAAATGGGACCATTCTACAATTTGCACCATTTGAAGCACCCATAGGGACAATATTCTTTTAACAAATAATAATAATAATAATAATAATAATTTTATTATTATTGATATTTATCAAATGGGCCCTATAGCAGCCCAATGAATCTTCAAGAACGTGGGCCTAATGAGCCCAAACGTCTAGGCCATTGAAGGCCCAGCCCACAGTAAAGTTCCACTTGTATTTTGGGCCGGGCCTTCTTGTCAATGACTCGAGGAGCTTCTCAATGCGTCCACACCCTAATTTGTTAGGAATAGTACTAACAACAAATATAATAAAATAATAAAATAAAATAAAAGTCAATTTTGAACCTAAACTCGTCTTGTCGTAATTTGATCGAGATTGTACCCAAAAAAAACTTTAAAATTGTGGTAATTTTAACGCTCTAATATTTTTTTCATCCCAATATTATTATGGAAGTTCTAATAAATTATAAATATTAATATTATTTTTTCTTAATAAATTATAAATATTAATACTATTTTTGAAATTTATGAATATTTTTTTAAACGTGACATACAGATTTAAAAAAAAAAATAGTGATCATAAGATTTCTGTGTTACATTATTAAAGGGATTGAATTAAAAAAAGTTGATTATGTGTTACATTATTAAAGGGCTTGAATTGAAAAAGTTATCTCTTATTGAGAACATCTCTCTCGCCAATTAGCTTTATCTTCTTTGGCGTGGTTCATCTTCCGTACAGTCTTCATATCACGCCGTTTGCTGCGGTGGAGGTGGCGGAGAGGGGAAGAGAAACGTTGTTGGCGGTGGCGGAGAGGGGAAGAGAAATGCCGCTGGAGGTGGAGATTTTAAGAAGCTTCGCGCAGGAGGTGGCGGAGAGGGAAAGAGAAACGCCGCCGGCGGAGGAGATTTAAAGAAGCTTCGTGGAGGAGGTGGCGGAGAGGTGAAGAGGAACGCCGCTGGAGGCGGTGGAGAAGTGAAGAGGAAGGCAAATAGAGATCTAGGGGAATACTTGAGGTCTGGGGATGAATCAGCAATGACAAGAAATGGATGAGAGAAAAGTGGGAAAATGAATAGCAGAAAGAACCCTAAAACATTCATTTTTTTTTTTGTTCTTTCTTTCCAACGTTGAAGATTAGGAAGATGGTGTGAAGATCCAGACTAAATTAAAAAAATTTATAGGAATAATACACGTTTTGAAATAGTAAATACTAAATTTGTCTTTTAAAATATAGTAAAAAAAAACAAAGAAATTTATATATTAGGATAACTGCTTTTATGTTCTTTCCAAAATTTATGAAATATATTCTTACCAAAATTTATAAAATATTGTTATTTGAGTAATAAAAATTAAGTTGGCAAATTTTGAATTATAAAAACGGTTAAATTAATAAAAATACTCTAAAATTTAAATATTATAATTAAATTTTTAATAGAGCTAAAAATATCTTTAAATTTTAAAAAAATATTCTTATAATTAAATGGTTAATATTTTGTTTAAAAATTAATTTAAAATAAGTATGGTATTTTAAATAATAATAATAATAATAACTTTATTATTTGATTAATATAAACTTGATGAATTAATTTTAAAATAATTTCAGAAACTTAGAAATAAGATATGGAAACCCCGAAACCAGCCAGCATATTATATTAAACAAAAGCTTAGAAAGTAAGTCTTATGGGGCATTTTTGTCATAAGGTCTCTAATATTTGCACTTTACACATATATACATTACATTACATTACAAGTAACATCCTCACTAAAACAGGATATTACTCTATTAACTACTACCACAGAATCGTACTAACCCGGACCCGTAACACAAAAACCATTAGCACCCGATCGATACATACAATGTTACAGAGACAATCGAAACGCTTGCGAGTCAGCTGAATTATCTGTTAGCATGACATGACGATCAACTCAATGGATTCCCCAGCTTCTCTCCTCCTCTTATTTGCACTGTCTTCAGCCTCTTTGCAGCCTTCACAAAACCCCTTATCACCTGCAACTCATCCAGTTGCTTCGACAAAGGAACGACATAACTCACGTAAGGTTTTGTCATACAATATAAACCGAAGGGAGCAAGGTATGGTTGTGAGTTAAGTACCTGTGACATGAAATGCCTCTGAACAAGGTCTATCAGTTGCTCTTTCGACGGGTTCGGAATAGCATCAACCTGCACAAATCCATCGATCTCTACGTAAGAAACTTACTAAGGTCAACCTTCTCCAAGTCTACCGCTAGCAGATATTGTCCTTTTTGAGCTTTCCATTTCAGGCTTCCCCTCAAGGTTTTTAAAACGCGTCTGCTAGGGAGAGATTTCCACACCCTTATAAAGAATGCTTTGTTCTCCTCCCCAGCCGATGTGGGATCTCACAGTCCACCCCCTTTGAGATTAGCATCCTCACTGACACTCGCTCCCCTCTCCAATCGTGAGAAACTTACCAGATTGAAGTGTTGCCAGTATCTCCACAGTGCAGCCATCTCCAACTTACTAAGGTCAACCTTCTACATAGGAGGCGGCAATGCAACAGGAAATTAGTTCAAATTGGCAAGGCTGAACTCATTTTGCAATACAGAACATTAAAAAAGAGCATACCGTGGATCCTTGAGGTGCAGAAACAGAACTCTTGGACTGTGAGTCACAGGAAAGGGATCTGCTCATAGTCTTGTGAGATGATGACCCAGATGATTTGTGTAATCTATGCCTTGATTTGTGGGGTTTTTGGGCGTCATCGGATGCTGGGAATCAAGAATAATCGAAAGCATTATCATGAATGAGTGACAAAGGCCAGAAAAAGAATAAAGAAAACCAACAAAAGTGAGTTCACAAAGGATCCTATGCTGCCATCAACCCTATCTAGAACCAACAAACAGTCGGTCAAGAGCATCAAGTTGCCCCTACCGCTGCTGCTACACCACACCATCCTCCTCTTCCCACCACCACTGCTCGTTGTTTCTAGAAGTACAGCGAAGATGCTAGTAAAGGTTAATAGTTCTAGAGCACTTGAAATCACTGTAGACTCGAGACTAAAATATGGTTCAAAGACGCATAAATCTTTGCCTTTTGATTTGGCTGTGATTTCAACATAGAGGCAAAGGATATTGGGTGGGTGGGGGTGAAAAGTGATCATCACTTCAAATGATCAAATCAATAACAGACAGGGACATCAATCCAAAAACAGAGGCACAGACAGCGAACAATTATGAGATGAACTCAATTCTATTCTAAGACAGGTAATAAAAATAGAAAAAGAAGAATGATTGAACAGAGACATTGAATCGCCAGCTGCAAAACTCACCCATATCAATTCCATTCCATTGCAAATTCTCAAATTCGAGATCGTCATCTTCCTCGTTACTGGTAGGAGCCTCGATCACACTAAGCGCATTCCGCTGTAGTTTCACCTCTATGCCATTCGTTAGAACCTGCACGTTTTCCCCATTCCAAGAAAATTGAAGCAAAGCAAAGATTATTTTACAGTTAATCAACCAAAAGGGAAATATCCACTTCAAATGATAAAAACCCATCATAATTTAATCCTACATATTGAAATCAGGACAAGAAAAAGTGAATAAATAAAGCAATCCTAGCCAGAAAACGACCGAAGTATTAAAAAATGGATACCAAATTCATTTTAGATTATGAAAAAAAAACTAATAAATTATGAAATCCACTGAATAAATGAACATGCAATAAAAGAGGGCAAGGATAGAAATGAAGAAACCCCAGAATTCTCAGTTAATAACAACGAGGAAAGCAAAATAATCGAATTCAGAATTTAACAAGACACGATCTAAAAACAAAAAAAAATTAACAAATGAAGAGTGTTATACAAAAAATTGAAGTGAAAAAAATGGGGAAATTGGCCGGACATTGATCAGAAAACATGAAATTAATCCTCACATTATCACCAAGAATAAGAATCCAAAGGAATTGAAAGTGTCTACAAAACCCGATTTGTAAAAGAAGCGAAATGGAGTGAAAAAGAGTTAAATACCAGCCAATGCCAGCCGCCAAGGCCCACGGCTTTCTTGACAACGCCTTGCAGTCCAACGAGGACGGATTTGGTTCGATTATTTCCAGTAACGACGACTTTGGTATGGCGAGGAAGGACAGAGAGCTCCTCCTCGCTACTATCCCCGCAGCTCTGCAAGTGCGAGAAACCGCCGCCATTGATAGAACTCTCCACAGCGTCAATCATTTCGGAGTGTGTCAAATGAAACGAAGAGGAAAGGCCATGCAATGGTGTGGGAAGTTTGAAGGAAGAAGAAGAAGAAAAAAAAAACACAGAGAAAGCAAGGAGAGAAGGAAGAGAGGAAGAGGAAAAGGAGGGATATTATTATTTGAGTGGGTGGTGGTGTTGCTATGAATCCCGACGACCCGTCAACGACAAATGATAAATTGACACGTAAGAGAGAGAATGAAGTTTCCATAATCACGCATTTGCCACTTGGTGGGGGAGCGGGTTTGCGGCATGATGCTCCCAATACCACTGGTGGTTTCAGTTTCTACTTCCGGAACAACGCCTTCCTTTTCCGGAGTTGACTTGTTGACCTTCGCTGTAACCCACTACATTCTCCTCAATTCCCAAATTACCAAACTACCCCTACTCCCCCTATTTATTTTATTATTATTTTTTAAAAAAAAAAAGAATTACTCGAAAGGACAGTTTTCTTTCGAATTTGGTTGAATTGGGTGTGAGTTTGAATTATTGTGTGTATATGGAACAGTTATTCACATCATTGTTGTTCAATATTCAACAACAAAAAAAAAAAAAAAGTCATTTAATTTGAATTTAAAATTGTGAGGCTAACAACGATACTGAACAGACAATAACATAGTTTAAATCGAAAAGATAGCTAATATAAAATTCTAAATAATATGGGGTTAGCTATTTTTTTTAATTTTTTTAAATAACATGTTTTTAAAAGGAATAATAAAGGGTAAAGCGTGGATCGTTGAAAAATGGGGTGTTTTGTAATTTCAATGTAAATAAATATGGAAATAAAAATCCAGCGAAAGAAAATTAATTATTTTTTAAAAAACTAAGAAGAAGAAAAAGGAGGGAAAAGAGAAAACACTGGCAACGTAGACTGAAACGTAACGGCAAAATCCGATTTTTTTTTTTTTTTTTTTTTTTTTTTTTTTTTTTTTTTTTTTTTTTTTNTTTTTTTTTTTTTTTTTTTAATTCAAACGCGGGCCCCACATCTCTACCTGCCGTCGGTTTGTCGTATATCTCCGTCCCACTCACACGTCTATCTCCGCCATACCCGAAAATCATTCATCTTTTTTCTTTTAAGGATAAATTAATAAAAATATTTCTAAAATTTCAATAATTTTTTTAAACATTTTTTAAAAATTTTAAAATGTCTTTTATTATTGATTTTTATTACTAATAATGGGTTTAAAAAATATCCATAATGTTAATACTCTTTATATATGAATGAAAATTATATATATATATATATATATATATATATATATATATATATATATTTTAAATAGGTATTTTTGAAGTTTTAAAAATAAAGGTTAAAGGTAAACTTAAAAAAATTTAAGGATATTTCTAGAATTTTTTTTTTTAAGTTAAAGACCTATTTTTGAAATCTTTTAAAAAGTAAAAAATAAAAACATAATTTTGATTTTTTAAAAAGTTAAAAGATATTATTGAAGTTGTAAAAATTTAGGATTTATTTATTTATAAATAAATCATAAAATTAAAAGGAATTTTTATTAATTTGGTTTTTTTTTAATTATGTGTGTAAATAGCTTTGACAACTTAAAATGTAAAACTGAAAATTTTAATTTATGTAAACTTAAAAAAAAAAATCAAATAGATTAACTAATAAATACAAGAGGGAGATCTTTTAAACGTGAAAACGATTAATTGATCTTAATTTGTTTAAAACATACAAATATATGTGTATATATATATGTGTATATCTATATATATATATATATATATATATATATATATATATATAATTCCCGCCATTACGGAGGAAGGTGAGGCGTAGGATGGAATTCTCCCGCGCAAAAGATCCAACAGTGAGAGGCGGATAAAGGCAAGCATGTCTCACAAAGCATGTGTAATGATGATAAAGTGTAAAAGAAGGGAATAAGGTTTTCAAAAACGTCGTCGTAACAGCGACCTAAAGGAAAGTAACGTTACTTACTCTCACTCCAAAATATAAAATACTAAATAAATAATAAATATTAATTCTTTTCTTAATTCATTCAATATTTATATCCCCTTTATCCGTACATCGAAGTTTCCACGCCTCTCATGTGAACCCAAAATAATACAAAAATATTTATTTATTTATTTTGTCTCATTTTAAAATTTTGATTCAACTCTAAATACTCTTAGGTTATCTCCGTAATTATTTTATAATGTTTTATTCTCACTTACATAATTTTTTAATTTTTTTAATAAATAATTTGTAGGTAGGTACTTCAATAAATATGAACGTCAATGTGTTAATATACATTTAAAGTGGCTTTCTCCATCTTTAATGGATTGAGACCAAAATAATTACTTACCTAGAAAGGGAGAGATTGACAGCGCAACTATTTTTGTAATTTAGCCTTATTCTTGTGGGATTCTAGGGTACAATCCGATTTCGAGGTGGGCATAAAAAGAGAAAGAAAAAGTTTTTATTTTTATTATTATTTTTCTTTTCTTTTTTTTTCATCTAAAACTTCAATTTAAATTTTAATTTTAGATAACAAGATCAACGAACATTATTGTATGATTTTAATGAATTATATAACATAATTGATCAAATTTTAAATTTTAATAAATATTATTTAATAAGTTTAATAGGGATGTAAACTAATTTGACAATAGAAAATAAATAAATAATTTGTGAAGAAGGAGCTGTAAGTGGACCCAGCCCCAACGGTCACACACACTTCACGAGACAAAATTGACCCTATAAATTTAAATTATATAATTTTAAAGAAAAATAAAAATAAATAAAGTTAGAGAGAGAAATAAAATGATTGGCTGGGCTCTCCAATTGCCCACCTGTCACTGTTCGCTGTAGGGCAGTAGCGATATATAATTGCCCTGACCCTGACCCTGCCCCTGCCCCTGCCCCTGCCCCTGCCCCTAACAAATAACAACGCCCATTTCCTTAATTATCTAAGCATTTCCCTTTCCCCATCCCCAAAAACAATACCCTTTTGCCCAAACAACAACCAATTGTCTGTTTTATTTTAATTTTATATTTCCCAAAAAAAAAAAAGAAAAAAATACTGTGACAATTTTGAGATTATTTTAAATTTTATACTATAGTTTTGGACTTTCATTTAATCACGGTTGAATTATAATCAATTCTAGTGATTAAAGTTTTATATTATATGCTTTTGGACAAAAAATTGAGCTATCACTGTAATGGGCCTCCGCATGTTTGGGTCGGCCCAAATGAGACATCACTGTAATGGGCCTCCGCATATTTGGGCCGGCCCAACCACTGCGTGTTAAGAACTAATAAATATGATTAAAGAAAACATTAAAAAAAAAAAAAAAAAAAAAAAAAAAAAAAAAA